TCCTCGACTAACTCAAGGAACATTATTACAATCCAAAGTGCTTCACTAATCGTAGCCATCACTTCAACCATATCGGTCTACACCGTACAATTTCCATAATCTATTTCTACTTACCTAAGGTACCCTAGATCCGAGTATAGGATCTTACAAGAAAATAAACCCAAGCAACCCTTTAAAGTAAAGCAAACAATTCAGACAATTAAAGCAATTAAGAGTGATCTAGACTCTAAGGTAACCCTTCTTTTTAAGTATATCATCCCCAGCAGAGTCGCCAGTTCTGTAATACGGGGGGAGAACCGACTTTTGTGTTTTCTCGCAAATGTGCGAATAGCTAGAGTCGCCACTGACTTTTCTTTTATACATTAAGGAAAGGGTGAAAAGAACAGGAAATACCTTGAATATTTTGAGTTCGGGGGGGGGGGGGGTAAGATATGAAAAGGGAAGGTGTTAGCACCCTTTTCATCTGTAGCTATCTACGGGCTCTTAATCACTAGCTCACTTTTGAAAATTGCTTTTTTTGTGTAATTGTTTTGAAAAATATTTTGAAAATCCAAAGTACGACTATCTTTGTAATGGTTTCGGTATTAATCCTCAAGAACGTGTATAAAGTGTTTGAAAATATTTTGTTTGAAAGTGTATAGTTTGTGAGCAAGCGATAAACAGTATTACCCACTCAAGGTCGTTCTTGTTATTTTCCTTCTCCTTTAGAGATAGTGATATATGTACCATTAGTTGGTAGGTAGCCCTATTTATTGGATGTGAAGGGACAATCTAGGGTCATCATATGGTCATCGAAGGCAACAAATAAGGATACTTTAGCAATTTATCGGAGGGACTAGATCATTTTTCGTAGGCAACATCGAAGGGTCATTGAGGGACTATGATCTTTTATTCTGAGGGACTTTGCTAAAGTATCCCTATTTTCGAGGGACATGACCAATTATTTTTAAAGGCAGCAAAGAGAGGTTATCCTAGGGGTGCGAGTGTGAATAGTGTATTCAATTCAGTTATTTTATCTTGTATTTAGGGTTATGCTATCGATTGATTATTATCTTTCCATACACGCCTAATTACTAACAGTATAATATACAGAAAAGTAAAGGTGTGAAAATTAAATCCTAAGCTATTACAGGGCTTGGGGGCAGTTACATAATAAATATGTGGAAGATAAAACCCTAAAAGTATTACATACTCGGAGCAATTACATAATAGGGAAAAAAGTGCAAGAGTAAATCTAAATTATTACAATTAAATAATGTGACCTATACACTTATCTAAGAAAATAAATAGAATAGAGAAAAAGGTTTTGAAAGAAAAGGAGAAAATGTTTAAATATTTTTAGAAAAAATAACTTTTAATGATAAAATATAATTAATCAACCTAAAATTTCTAATTGATTTTAATATTTTAAAAAAGGTTTAATTAATTTAATTAATCAAAATCAAAATCAAAATTTTAATTATTAAAAAATACTAAACATAATGTAATTTGTTTTAGAAAATTATTAGGTTAAATAACTAGGTTTAATTAGGGTTTGATTAGAATTTAAGAGAAAATAAGTGAAAAAATAAGAAAATAGGGTTAGTGTAAAAAGGCAGAAAAATAATGCATGGAGTGTGTGTTGAACCCACATCTTAGAAGTCATAGGCACACCTTCCGTCCACTGTGCCAAGTTGTTTGTCATGTTAAAAGAACAAGTGCGCTTCATAATATGTGAAACCTGCAAAAATATGAAAATATCAAAGAAATTTTGCAAAAGGCAGGGATCGAACTCACGCCTTAGTATAATAATGCCTTAACGCACGCGCTTCTGCCACTAGGGTGTCTATACATCCATTAATTTATCCCAAAAAATATATATATAAGATAAACTTTATCAGAGAGACCAGAGAAGTGTCAGAGCCCTAGCTCCGATAGTCTTCTCCGGTGAGTACGTTTTTGTATCCTGCAAAGTCATAATTGTTAGTGATCCAAAGGGATCCTATCCCCCTAATTTGACCCTTGTGACTTCAATGGTGGCCTTGGTTTTTATTAATTCTCCCTGTATAAAGAAATACGAACAAGATAACATAAAACGGTTCAAACATGGCAACCCCTCGTCTGGGCATTATGGGATTCATGCAATGGTTCTATCCTGCATAGTTTCACCTCAGGAGTGCATTAATATCATTAGTATGCATTAAAACAACATGGAAATCAAAATACAAATTTACAAAAATTAAGGAATCCGGAGATGCATGGGAATCCTGTTTCATACTCTTTGGATCATCAAGATCGATCCATACTTACTTTATGAGACTTCTGGAATTGATTGGAATGACTAGCTTGCGTGGAAAAAGGATGAAAATAGGGTTTTTAAGTTTGACCTAGTTTGACAATTTTTGATATTTGGAAGGTGATTTTTCTTGTAAGGTTTTGTGTCCTCCTCTTGTCTGAATATAATGTATATTTTTAGGCCATGAATTAGGTTAAAAGATGAGCTTGGACTTTGTATGAGAACTTATTTGATTTTTCTTGAAAAATAGAAATTGAATAAGATAAAAGAAGAAGATTTGATGCAAGAATAAGCTCCACATGTTTTCTTACACTATCTTGGGCCTCCAACAGATTTGAAACAAAGGCCTATTATGCTTTGCACCTCCTTCTAATATTTATTTGATTTAATTTTGACTTTAAATAAGTAAAATAAAAAATAAAAAAGATAAAAATTATCATGGTGCATGAGTGGGTTTAGAGGCCCGTAATAAGGTCAAGAACACATTTGGACTCTAAAAGATAAGCCCATATGTCAAAAACTTCAAGTTTGCTCAAATTGGATTTAATGCATTTTCTCAAAATTGCCCAACTTGTGCAATCTATAACTTGCTGAATTCTCATCATATGGATATGATCTTGGACTTTTTGGAAAGATCGAGATGTCCCTTACAATATCTATGTTGATATTTTTTTCATTTGAAGACTTTATCTTGATGTAAATTTCTTTGACAAAAAGTGTCTTTTTGTTGACTTTTGAAATGACCTGTAATGTTTTGGCCCATATCTCTCAAATGAAGCATTTTTTGGACTTGAGCTTAAAGTGACAAAGTTGTAGAGAATTTAATTTCCATCAAAATGAGTTTTTATTGATAATTTTCTTATGAGGCATGTGAAAGTTATGCTTGGTCAAAGTTCAGTTGACTTCTGCTAAAGAAAACCCTAATTTAGCAAATTTTGACTTTTGATGAATCTTGAGTTTTCTTGATGATTTATGATCAACCCTTGATCAAATGGTAAATGTACCTTCAAAATATTGATGTTGACAAAAAATATTAAGGTTTGACTGTATGTTGACCACAATTGACTTTTTACCCAATACAGTTGATTTTCAATCATCTGACTAGTTGACTGAGCAAATTTATGCTGCAAGGCTTGAAATCTGGCATGAGGATACCTTGAAACATATGAGAAACCATGAAGTCCACTTGAGGCATTAGAAATCCAGTTTCCTCTGAGAAAACCAAAACCCTAATTGTAGGTCACTCCTTAGGAGGAAGATCATTTGATCATTCTTGAGTAGTCTTGAACACTTGATGACCTTAGGAGCATGAGAAATTCTTTTGAAAATGAGAGGGAAAATTTTGGGATACAACAGTATGATTAACGCTTTTGTTGAGAGACAGCACCATGAGACGTGATCGTTCCATCTACCACATGGTGAGATGACGATTACACTGGACGACATCGCATGTCTGTTGCATCTTCCAATAAGAGGGAGTTTTTAGACCATGAGAGATGCATCAAAGAGGATGCGTCAGAGTTGTTGGTAGAGAATTTAGGAGTTACCCCTGAGAGTGCTATGGTTGAGATGGACTTCACCCGTGGTGCTCACGTCAGATTTAGTTATTTGAAGAACGTGTTCGTGGTTGAGCTACAATGTGCATGATAGATGATGATGATGATCTCGAGCAGGTAGCCTATCATCAGATGTGTGTTATTATAGCATACCTTTTGTATCTGGTTGGCACGATCATATTTGTGGACACTAATGCCACTTACACTGATTTCATGTACATGCGGTACTTTGATAATTTTGAGCAGATCCATAAGTGGAACTAGGGGTTGTTTGTTTGGTGTATTTGTACCATAAGATATTTGAAGGCTGTAAGTGAAAGACGAAGTAGATGACCGACAACATCACACTCATGACGGTAAAAAAATTTGGTCTTATATTGTTAGTTTGTGTGTGTGTCTGTCTTTGTATTCATGTCATGCATTTATTTTGTAGTTTCCAACAATATGTAACCTCAATGCAAAATAATGTCATTTTAACTTTTACTGCTATTGTCTGCATAATTTTCGAAAATGTAATTTCGATTTTCTCCTGTATATGCATCTCCGAGAATAACTTATGTTTAACAAAAAAAAATGCATCTCAAAAATATATTTCCGAAAACACATAGACAAATTGAATTTTCTTAGATTTCTTTTCAAATTCTCTACCTGTATATGCATCTCCAAAAATAACTTATGTTTAACAAAAAAAAATGCATCTCAAAAATATATTTCCCAAAACACATAGACAAATTGAATTTTCATAGATTTCTTTTCAAATTCTCCACATGGCAGGATAAAAAATCCCCTAATTGATAGGCTCGATACTTGGGTCACTAATAGGGATTGGTCCTATGTGGAATGGATATTGACCTAGACCAAAACAGATTCATCAGTACTTTTTTATGATATCATTTTACTATGTATGATACCATTTTTTAATTCTTTTAAATATCTTTTTTTATGCCTAACGAAGTAACTCATGATTTCTCTTTTTCATATAATTTTAGCTCAATTTTTTAAGTTGTGTAAAATTATTAAAGTGACGTAATTTGAGACGGAATGAATACTACTAATTTGTCTTAAAAGATGGAGTGTCAATATCACATTTTTATACACAAGAAAATTTAGCTACAATCATATCCAAAGAAAGAAAACACGAGGTTTACCAAGAAACACTCGAATTCTAATTAATTGGTTCGATCACAAATAGCAGTGAAAGACATGGCAGCAAAAGAGGTTCCTGATGAAGATGAATCATCTTGCATTCCTGAACTAGCCAACAAAGAAGTATATGCACTTTTCACTCCAGCCTTGCATCTTCTATCCACTTGGTCATTGGCATCTACAAATTCAAATATTATGCCTGGTTTTATTATATTATCATCATTCACATCTCTTTCACCAATAAGCATTTTAAGGACAGTGGACATAGAAGGCCGGAGCTGAGGAGAATCCTGTGTGCAAAGAAGACCAATCTTGCAAAATTTGACTGCCTCCTCAACACTGAAGTCCCCTTCTAGAAAAGCATCAACCAAAGTTTTTAGCTCCCCTTTCTCATACAAATCCCATGCCTGCATGACACATTAGTATATCAACATTATAGACTTAACAATTCTCTGTATCTGTTATTTGTGAGCAAGATCATAACAGAACAGAATGAAGGACATATGTCAATCTGAAGCAATATTTAGTTACTCTTATTCAATATTTGCACAAAGAAAGATCCTTACCCTTGTAAGAAGATATTGTTCTTTAACAGGTAAACGTCTGTTTGTGTTGGGCCTCCCACTAACAATTTCTAACAGTAACACTCCAAAACTATAGATGTCCGATTTTCTTGTCACTTGATTTCGTATTGCATACTCAGGAGCCACATAACCACTATAAAGTCAAACAGGGCATAGTAGGAAAAATATTAGTGTAGTGTGAAACCATTTTTTTTCCTCTAATCTAATAGGCCTAACAAGCTTTAAATTTCCAAAATCTAACATTTATTGGTATTAACTATAAAAAAAAACTAACCAACGGCTAAAGAAAGAAAAGGTGAACTTACGCGGTTCCAGCAACCCTTGTACTAATATGGGTCAGGTTTGGAGAAATAAGCTTTGCAAGGCCAAAATCAGAAATTTTGGGTCGGAGATCTGTGTCAAGTAATACATTGCTGGCTTTTATATCTCTATGAATGATATGTGGCCGAACCTCTCCATGAAGGAATGCAAGCCCTCGAGCAACACCTACGCAAATGTTGCGCCTTACATCCCAACTGAATTTGATGTTACTATGACCTGAACCAATAAACTCATCATGAGGACTAATTCATTATTAGGATAGTTTATTTACATTCATAATTAACACAACAACAACATTATAATTTATAACAAATCACTTGCCAAGAAGTGTTTGTGCTAGGCTGTTGTTCTGAAGATAGCCATATACCAAAATCCTATGATTATCTTCCACACAGCATCCATACAACTTCACTAGATTTTCATGTTCTATACTAGAAATCACCTTGATTTCTGTCAAGAACTCTTGAACCCCTTGTTTTGATTCAGCTGATAAAACCTTTATAGCTACTAGACAACCATCCCTCAACTTTCCCTGTAATGTGGATGGTGTTATAAGTCACTAAACAAGAATACATAAATATAAATAAATGTTGTTGCCAGCCAGCAGTTTACCCAAATTTAACTCAACTAACACATCCCGTGACGAGAAACATTGGAAAAAGCATAAATAGATTTCTTTGTGAATTTCATACTAGTGCAATTAATGACCTTATAGACAGATCCAAAACCTCCCTGCCCTATCTTGTTTGCAAGACTAAACCCTGTAGTGGCGATTCTCAGTTCCTTGTAAGTGTAAATTTTGACATTGTGAAGTTCTGAAATATCTGTTGCAACAACAATCAACCAATAAAAGCATCAATTGAATTGAATAAAATCAAAATTTAGGTCAAAATTTACCTATATCGGTTCGCGTGAATCGCGTGGCTGAGGAAGACCTTATTTGTCTGAAAAGATGAGAACAACAAGTCATGAGAGAATAACTCCGGTGCTCCAATTGATGAATCAAACTTACCACTGTGAAACCAGATATATGAGAATCAACATGTAATAACAATATCAAATATTGAATATTTACAGAACTAGTATTATAGTATTGAAACGTACACCAACACGCAAATCAAAGTCAAACTTAATAATTCTTTAAACCAGGTCAACTGTAACTTGGAGTATATCTCAGTAATTAGGCACGTGAAAAATAGATCAAAGTAATAAATACTTTACCTTTTTATAAATGGAAGCTGAAATGTAGCCACTGCTCTGGCGTAGAGGTGCAAGGAAATGAAGTTGAGTTGGACGGGTTATCGAGAGGGGAGCGTTGGAAAAGATATACTAAGGTGTAATATCAGAAAGAGACAAGCACTAGAGAAGTTGTGAAAAATCTGCTAGTTTGCTCCAATTTTTAATAGCCACAGAATTTAAATCAAAATTGCAAAGCTTTTAATAATAAAATAAAAAAGTTAAATATGTTTTTAATTCATATAAATACTTCACCCTTCAATTTTAGTTCATACATGATATGGCAACATTTAAGTTTATTTTTTATATAAGAGAATGTTTCGAAATAGTCTCTGACCTTAAATATGATGGTGGGGAAGTGTATGTTTTTAATAGCTAAGATCCAGATCATTTTTCATTCTTTGAAGCTTGTAACTTAGTGAAAGTATTGACCCTGCATTTGATTATAAGACTGTTAAGATGTGGTGGAAACATGACGAAGGATCCCTTGAAATAGTTATGAACTCATTCAAAGTTGATTCAGATGCTCTCGAGTTGGCTATATATGTTGTTGGGAATAATAATGAAATTGAGATATATTGTGAGCCTAAACCAGAAACAACAGGTAACACATTTATGGATAATATTAGAGAAAAGGGGAAGGATAAGAATTGTGAAGAAGAGAAGGAAGGAACAAGTGACTACAGTGATGACTCAAGTGGTGAATCTGTAAGGAATGTCCATTTTGATGACAATGAGGAAGAGAGAATAAATGAGTTTGAAGAAGGAGTTGGTGCAGGTGTTGATGATGAAGTTATAACTTCATCTATTGCAAATGTCAATGCCCCTAGTGAACCAGCCAAGCTTCTGTTTATCACAAAAGAGGTGAGTAAAGCACATATCATTGAGGAGGAGTACATGACTGATGATCTAGATAGTGGAGCTGATGATGATAGTGGTGATGAAAGCCCATGTGTCATCGGTTTCAATACAGAAGATACTTTTAGTAAATATTATGTTTTCAAAGTTGTGATGGAGTTTTGTTCTTTGAGACAATTTAAAGATGTTATTTTAGAATACAATGTTCTTAATGGTAGAGAGATGAGGTTTGAAAAAAATGACTCCAATAGATGTAAGGTGGTATGTAAGGATAAGAAGAAGTGTAACTACACTATGCTATACAATAGAGTCCTAACATCCTCAACTTTTAGGATAAAGACTTTGTATTCTAAGCACAAGTGTGGAAGACAATTTTTTAACAAAAGTGCTAGAGCAGAGTGGGTAGCTAAGGTAATTGTGGATGGTTTAAAGAATAACACTAATATAAAATTGAATGAGGTTGTAGTAGATGTTAGGCTTAGATATGCCACAGAAATCCCAGGAAGTGAAGCCAAGCCTTTAAGGCAAGGCAGATAGCTAGACAAATTGTGGAAGGTGATTCTAGCAAGCAGTTTAACATGTTATGGTCTTATGGAGCTGAGTTAAGAAGGGCATCCCTTGGAAGTACCTTCAAAATAAACACAAGTTGTTCAGGTCTAGGTTTGAACCCAAGATTTAAAAGGTGTTATATGTGTTTTGATGGGACCAAGAAAGCATTAACAAAAGTATGTAGACCTTTCATTGGTTTGGATGGATGTCACTTGAAGGAGAAGTATGGTGGTATTTTGCTCATTATTGTAGGAAGAGACCCTAATGACCAATATTTGTCAATTGCATTTGATGTTAAGGAGAATGAAACAAAAGACTCATGGAGTTAGTTCATCAAATTTTTGTTGGAAGACATTGGTGATGGAAGATGGTGTTTCATTTCTAACCAGCAAAAGGTAGTGTATTTCTTACTAATTTTGTTTTTCTGTTTTGCTAATGCTTTTACTAAATTATTTGATGTATTGATATGACAGGGTCTTGTACACGTGTTTAAAGAGGGTACGAATAAATTATATGTTTACTATATCTGATATAAATCTGTGTTGTACATGTTATATGTAAATTTTGATTTTGTCACATGTTGTATGCATTATGGGAGATCTATGGGGTCTATCAACAATGCAAAGAAGGATAAGTATGAACCTAAGACTAAGACTAGAGCAAAAGGTAAACTAGCAACACCAGTTGAGGCATAACCAACTGCACCAGCTGCACCAATTGAGGCACAACCAGCTGCATCAGTTGAGGCACAACCAGTTAAAAAAGATGCACCAGATGAACCTGTAAAAGGTGCACATGTTGAGGCAAAAAAGGATGAGGCACAACCAGCTGAAAATGATTCACAATCCTCTTTGTTAAAATATTACGGTATAGATGCTAATTTATTGGATGACATTCTGATAGGTGCTTGTAACGCGGTGGGAGAACTGACTTGGGTGTTTTGCGTTTTATCGCAAATGTTGTGGTTTAGAAAGAGTCGCCACCGACTTTTCTTTTATCCAATAAGAAAAGGCTGAAAAGAACAGGAAAGACCTTTAGAGATGTTTTCTTGAGTTCGGGGGGTAGATTATGAAAAGGGAAGGTATTAACACTCTTTTCATCCATGGTTTTCCATGGGCTCTTAGTTGCTTGCTAGATCACTTGCTTTTGTTTGAATGTGCTTGTGGTGTGAGTTTTGAAAGTATTTTGAAAATGTCTTTGTAATGGTTCTCGTTTCTATAAGAACGCGTACAAAGTTTTATTTCGAAAATAGTTTAAAGAGGTGTTTGTGGAATGTGTATTTTGAAAGTGATTTTGAAAAGGTATCTTTGTAACGGCTCTCATTTCTATAAGAACGCGTACAAAGTGTTTGTCTTTCGAAAATGTTTTAAAATGAGAGTATTGGTGTATAAAATGTTTTTGTTGTGAGAAAGCGAGCAACTAGGAGCGAATCTACCTACTTAAAAGGTCTTAGATGTTCTTTTCCTCCTCTTCTAGATGTTGTTATCTTACCATTGTTTTTGGTAAGAAACCCCATCGTTGGATGTGAAGGGACGGGTGTGGGACGTTTGTATAATCATAGAAGGCAACCTATGGAACGTTTTAGCAATGTCGTTTTAGGGACTAGATCGTTTACCGAAGGCAACATTAAGGGTCATCGAGGGACTACGATATTTTATCGATGGTCTTTGCTAAAACGCCCATATTCGAGGGACATGGCTATTTTCTGAAAGGCAACAAAGTGGGATTATCCTAAGGGTGCTAGTGTGCAAGTGTGTTTTATTTAAATGCATTTAGTCTTGATTAGAGTTATCTATTTGTTGATTTCATATCTTGCCATACACACCCTAATTACTAGCATTTATATTTGAAAGCGATAAATTACAGAAATGTAAAGTCCTACGCTATTACATTATTTAGGGATGGGGGTACAAATTTACAAATGGGGGGTTGCAAGAATTTAAATCCTAATTAACTATTACAACCATATTGAAATGTACAATGCAAGAAAGAAAAAGGACTTGTTTAGAAAATGGTTTTTTGTCTTAATGAATTAAGAAAAAGAAATAAATTAATTAATAAAAAAAAATATTTTTATGTCTTTTTTATATTAATAAAAAGGGTATTAATATTGAAAATGATAAAAAAAGGGAAATAATGAGAGATAGAATTAGCATGCTGCTGAAAGCAAAACAAAGGGGATCAAAAGTTCTAATGTCGGGCGCACTGAGGTTCAGAAAGAATCGTCAGAAGTTCTGGATTGATACATTCTGAGGTCCTGCAAGAAAACTTAGAGGGAAAACACAGAAGTTCTGGGTTGCTATGTGCTAAACTTCTGAGTGTTAGAACAGTGAGAAAGTCTTAGAAGTTCTGTGTATTAAAACAGTGAAGAGAACTCAGAAGTTCAGTATGTGCTAAGACAGTGAGTGAACATCATAAGTTTAGTGTGTGTTAACAGCAAGTGAACATCAGAAGTTCAGTGTGCTTAAACAGTGAGAAAATCATAGAAGTTGTGTGTTAAAACAGTGAGGAGAACTCAGAAGTTCTGTGTTGTGCTAAAACCGTGAGTGAAAATCAGAAGTTATGTGCTACATTTCAACTCTTTCCTCATATTAATCAGCACATCAGCAATTTATCCAGTTCTTAACAAACAACAAATCAGAAGGATAAAAGCACAACAATTTATAGAAGTTCTAATCCTAATTCTGAGCCTAGCCTTAATCAAGAAGTTTTGATCCATAATTTTTCTACTTATGCAATGATATGGACAACATCAATACTATGACATTTACATATTTAATGATGTTCTGAATGAAAAGATGCAAAGTCAGAAAGACTTACCTTGAATCTGGAGCGTGTGCTTGGAACTTGAACTGCTGCCTTCAGATGTTCTGGAGTCAGCAAGAACAACGGAAGAGAAAATGCTAAGTTCTTTGATTCAAAGGGAAGAACAAAGGTTTGGTTTTCTATTTGGGAATTCTGTATTTTTACGAAGGTTTCACAGTTTTCTTTTCTCTCTTTTGACAATCCTCTCTCTCCAAAAGCCAACCCCTTGAAAGTGTGATGGATCAACTTATTTATAGGTGAGTTTGCTGTGGTTTTGGGGGGAAAAACAAATGGGATTTTTTACCTTTTTGGCATACTGTTCCATTTCTTTTTAAACACAGTTTTCGTATGCTAATTTGGTGCAATTATGGGGTTTGAGAAAAACGCAGGCGTGGACCGGATCAGTAGCACTTTGGAGTGTTGTGGAAGCTGGTGGAAGGACTGTGCTATAGCAGTGCAACAGGTTGCTCAAACGAGGTTTTGGGATTTGGTGATGTTTTGATTGCAGAAGACCAGAGTGAG